CAAGAAACAAAACTGTAAAATACTTGTACAATACATTTCTGATACGTTAGCGGGGTCACCCCTTAAGCTCGGTTTCTTTAGAATCGCTCACCCTATTGGTGACGGTCACCGACAGTTGTCGGAAAGGTTGAATCTAATTCAACATTGCCAATCGAATTGGGGTGCATTCCCGATTACGTCAGGGCAGCAACGCAATCGGCAAAGTTGAACCAGGTTGAACCTTCCCGACAACTGTCGCTGATAGGGTGAGCCATTCTATGGAAACCGAGCTTAAATCTTTATCAAAGAATGAAAAAAAATCAGCATGTTTATATTTACAACTAGCAGAGAAAAAAAAGACGCTTAAAATTCTGACGTCTTCTTGCGAAAGATCTACTATAAGAATAATGTTTTATACTGTTTTACTTACTTTAGACGTGTCAAAATATAAAGAGATGACTGACCTATTTCTACAGTCAATATTAGACTTAACGGCAGCAGCGTTATAATGATGTGACGAAGTTCACTGAGCTATTTACAGTATCTAATTCAATGTTTTAATAACAACGGAAATACAAGTAATTGGAAATTAATTAAGATGATAACTTCATTCTGTATCTTACATTCAGAATTTCCATTCAAGATCCAAATACAAAAGCGATATATTTCAGAACAATTAAATTTGAAAATTCACAACAGAATCTGGATTGATTCTTTTGATATCATACTGTATTTCTTCAATATAAATATGTAGTATTTATTACTTAAATTTATATGCTTATTGTTATCATATTTTTCTTGTTTGTCAAATATTTACAGACCCTTTATATACAACTTCATTATTTCTATTATAATTATTATGATTATTACTTTATTATATTAATATTATTGTTGTTGATTATTGTTCACCACCTAGTTGGTATTGTTGTTGTTATTATTATTATTATTATTATTAGGCCTATTTTATTATGTATTTATTAATTATTATTAGTCATAGGCGAATGATATTCAGTAAGTCTTACCCACCAATGTTGGCGAGGCAATGTCAGTCTAACATCTCGCAGTAAATAGATAGCAATGATTCATTGGAGAAACATACATGTATTCTTGAAGACTGTCGAGGAATTATCGCATCTATTGAGTGCGTATCAGTTATATTCGGGCCGCGGAAGATCAAATACAAGAGACCAGTGTATCATTATCCTCGTTTAAAACTACTTCTTAGCCATATCAGTGTACCATATTTTTTTTATAGACTACCGGATTACAGTACATCAATCGATTCAAACTGCTACTATAAAAAATGACTCTTTCGCATAATGACGCCATGAATATTTCTGAGCCCGCATTTATAATGTTATGCTTTTTAAATATTATGTTAAAATTGTTGTCTCGATTGATGTGATGCTGCACGTAGTCCATGGCACCAATAATCCACTTACAAATACTTCTTTCAGTGTATTCCATCATGTGTTATACAGCCTTAGGTACTGTACAATGGCTCCCACAAGATGCTGGTTTTCTCAAACAACATTTTGAAAGTGGGACTCTAGAGTTCATTCCCCCATGCTTTAGAGAGATACTGCGACACTTTCTAAATTTAATTGACTTACATACACCCAGACCTATTTAATAACGCAGCAAGAATAACCTTATATATATGAAACATCTTACATGCAACGGGAAAATTAACTGTTCCATGAATTAGGTAAGATATTTTACACAACTACAATGGACATAATAATTAAAGTCTACATCAAACGTTTTGTATCTACTCCAAACAAGTGCAATTGATATCTCGGTTATTAACAAGAAGTTTGAATTAATCACAAAACATGTTTCTGTACTATGTAGACTATGCTAACGGGTAAGTTCACTTAAGTAATTGTGATATATGACTACTGCTAAACTGCTGCTACAGTTCGTAGCTACGGTGTTCACGTGTAGTTAGTCGCACTGGTAGTTGCAGTAGCAGCCGTAGTAGTAATTCCAGTGTGTTAAATTATGTCGGCTGCAGAAACAAAGACTCAAGAAAAATAAACAAAATAAGATATATTACGCTTTTCGCTGAAAATGATTAGCAGTGCAATTAACGCGCAGAATCACGTACCTTGTTGAGCCAATCATAGCTTAACACCTCTCTGACGTTCCTTCCATCACTACTGGCACGTGCAATTAGGCGCTCAATTTAGTTGACATAAAGATTCTTTATCTCTATGCAGCTACTCTACGATGCCTACTTAAACAAGCTATATATACTCGCTTTACATGACAATACCGCCTTAAGCCCTCTAGCTAATTCAACAATTCGCAATTTTCATTTGAGAAAAAAGTACAACTTCAATTCATGACCAAATCAAGTGTTCGTACCTATTATGACAATTTTACGTTTTGAAAATATGCCTTGTTATTGGATGCTACGAAACTATTAATACCAAATAATCGGAGGCATACTCGAATCAGAACGCAACAAGTTGAAGGAAAGGATGTTTTGTCTAATACACCGGTTTTATTTATTAAAACACATTGTTAAAGGTGATATATATATCTTGGGAAACGAGGTCATAAAACGAAGAAATCTTGTATTGGAACTGGATTTTTTCGAATGATCGCACATCATTTATCCTACAACATGGCTTTTTGCATTTGAGAAAAATTATTCCTAAAATATATTAGGCCGAATGATCGGGTTATATTCTAAAGTGTCAAGAAGTGTCAATTTCAGTTTATATTTTGATTATGATGACAGATAAATAGCACAAACATTTTAGTAATTGCGGACTGTATCCCTGTAATAACAATACATCTAGTTTAACCCAGAATTTTGATAAATTGGTAAACATATTCACATTTAAAGTGCAGAACCTGGTCACAAACACATGTGTTCCTCTTACTCTACAGGCCACTCCTCAAAGAAGTCTTCATGACAAGCAATGAGTTTCTGGAAGACGCCACATACAGTTTAATTGTTCAATTACTCGTTGTATGTGCAATTGATTATGTGAAAAACTTTCAACTGTTTAAAAAATAAAGAAATACAGATTGTCGTGATGACGTGATATTTTGTCTCTTTCTAGCTGTTTGTTCTTCATCCGTTTTATGAAACAGTTACAATGGACCTGTCCGCGAAGGTCCCCCTCTTGGATATTGTTGGATAAATTCTCACAAAAGGACAGCGTTAAATCAACAACACGTGTGTTTGTTAGCCAGGCGCATACTGTATTCCTGGCCCAGTTCTAATTGGATGGACAGTTGTTAGGTTCAGTTCTAATTGGATGGACAGTTGTTAGGTTCAGTTCTAATTGGATGGACAGTTGTTAGGTTCGATTGATACTCCGGAAAGGTCAATTTATTGGTAGTCTAAAGGATCTTGTCGTCATCAATAGTAGTTGTAGGTGTCAGGAAAGGTGCAGATTGTGAAAGTTGGCACAGAATTACTCTAATATTAAATGCTGACGCTATGTTATTTCTCTATGTTCACCACCTCTTAGCTAACAATGTAACTCGTCATAGACCTATAATTGTGTTGTTGCAGGATTGAAATTTAGTTACATACATTTAAAAAAAATTATTTTGCTTAATTATTTGAAGGAGAAATCTGTGGTTTCAAGATTAAATCATTGATTCTTTCCTCCAGCGATTTGTTAATATTACGACAGAGGCGTGAATAAGTTCAACGAACCATCAATGATGTTTAAAATCAAAACACATTCTGTTGTTTTAAGAGGAGAAATAAATTTAACTTGTTGCAGAAAACCTGTTGCCTCACATTTAAAGACACAAAACACTACACGTACCGACATTTTTACGATGTATGTAGTCAAGTAAAAAGTAAATCTAGAGTAATATTATTTAGTATTATCATTCAATGACCTGGGTAATATATAATGTGATGCACTTAAAGGCGCTGTTACCATAAAGTTCTATTAGAGTATTAATAGATAGCATTAACAAATATTTTGAATGTTGAACGTTGCAATAAATGCGCAGTTAAAAATATCGTCAAACATATCGTACGATATGATATTCCTTTTTTCTGAGAAGGTAACGTGGTATTTTATAATTTACGTCAAACGTTACTAAATATAGACTTTATGATAAATATGCAAATAAAAATAATAAAGCAATTGATTATTGGCAATCGTTATACATTTAACATATATTGATTATTGATAGCATTATTCGGGTTAGGAAGTTCATTATCAGATGTCACGCTTCAATAAGATCTGGAGCATTTACAAATGTTGAATGAGTGAGTCTGCCTGGGTTTCAAGAGCAGTATATTGAAACAGTTCACCTTTGAATTTCTTTAATAGTACCTGCAACATACTTCACCGATGCTCGGCTTTATAAAACAAGTTTATTATAACCTTTTAAGGCAAACTAGCACACTTGGTAAAAGCGACTCCTAAATGTATGGAAAACTGTACTGAAATGTGTCGGAATTGTAAAGCATTAGTTGCCTTTTTGCCCGCGGTGGCTTAAGGCACGTAAACGTTTTGTCAGTTTAATAAACTACAGACGTGATTTACATATTGTTTAAGTTCTCAATTTTGCTTGTCATGTAGTGCCGTACTTCGAAGAGCGTCAGTAATTATAGTTACTTTACGTTGCACGTTAATTAATTGTTATATTGTAAAGTAGCAAGAAACAATAAAATACGCATAAACCTGTTTATGAAGAATAGGCTTGAAACCCCAATGTTACATTAGGCTATAAACATTTTTGCTGTATTTTTGTTATATATATAACATTGTATTGCATTATGTATAATTTTTATATATAATTATATATTTTCTGTAATTTCATATTTATGCCACACTTATTGTAATAATTTTGTTTATATAACGTATGAATAGTATAACTGATGTTCAAAAATGATAATGAATGCTACATCAAGAATTAGCGCTGTTCCACAACGCATGTACAAATGAATGTAAACAAAATCACCTTCCTACAATTAGATTCGAATTCCCAGCAAAGCCTCATTTGTCCCGTTGTTTAAGGCGTCTGCATAGAGAGCAGAAGGTCCCGTGTTTGATTCCGAATGATTTTAATGCGAATTGTTTAATGTAATTTGCATAATGTTATAATTTTGCATCATTCAACAGGACAAATAGATTATTTGTAACCGCAAACTTCTAATGTGCTTAAGAAGAATGGTGTTCAACCAGTGTGTTATACCTGCCATGATATATGGTTCTGAAATCACCAAAAAGATCAAAGAATAGCTAAACGTAACCAATGAGAAATGGAAAGACGCATGTTACACATACGTGTATTCTAGACAGAATAACATGCGCAACAATAACTCGGAAAACAGGAAAATGTCAAAAAAGAAGTGAAGATGGGCTGCGAACGTGGTTAGAGCATGGAGGTTATTGAATAACACCTCCATGATTAGAGTAATGACAACAGATGGACAAAGTAAGTAGGCCTACCCTAATGGATACCCAGAGAAAGTAAAAGAAAACAAGACAGAAACAGAAGTGGACAGACGACCTGAGAATAAATATTGGTTTAGAGAAACATAGAAAGAGGTCGAAGATTTTAGAGGAGGGGTATGTGCAACAGTGGACTGATGGACCCTGAAGTAAGTAAGTAAGTAAACAGGACAATGTGGAAACAGCTTGTTACACCCTTCTGATTTTATTCTGTATCAATATGATATATATATATATATATATATATATATATATACTCTCTCTTAGCACCTAAACTTTGATATTTCAGTGCACTTTCAAAAACATTCATACACTGTTTTATGGCCACTTTATGCTCAGTTTCACTATTACCTTTTACAGATGATTAGTGGTAAAAAACAATATGTGGTTGGTGGGCCGCACACATAGGGTTTGTAAATTATTTCCGCGGGCCGCAAAAAAATAACTTGCGGGCCGCATGCGGCCACCTGTGATATAGGTATGTAGACAGACACCTATACACAAAGACAGATAGATAGACAGATAGACAGATTGATAGATTGATAGATTGATAGAGATCGATCGATAGAGATAGATCGATATATCGATAGATCGATAGATCGATAGACAGACAGACAGACAGACAGACAGACAGACAGGCAGGCAGACAGACAGACAGACAGACAGACAGACAGATAGATAGATAGATAGATAGATAGATAGATAGATATTAATTGGCATATAACATACATACCTGAGGTTGCCTTTGTTAGTTCCGTAACTGATGTGGTTACAAATCGCCTGAAACATCTCACGTGCTGTGCAGATGTTGCGTGCGTCAAATACCTGTAAATAAACAAAAATAAAACCACATTTATTTACACGTGACTCCACTGGCGTGTGCTAGCACAGAGTGTGCAAGGGTGTTTTTAGCTGTGAAACTACAAAATAAACAACATTAGGAATAATAATACGGACCATACAAAAAGCTATATATAAATGTTCACTTAATGGTACCTTAACACCAACGGAACATAAACGCAAACAAGGTCAATTAACTGTATGCGGATTGGAGATGGCTAGGCCTACATACAATTCCGATTTTTCCATGTGTGTCTGATGTAGTGCGGAAACGTAACGTATGGGGGGAGGGGTGAAGAAAGTAAATTATAGGGATTAACCTCTCCGAAGCCCGCTCTTTAAATACTGTTGCTAATCTTCTACAAAACGGCAGTGTAAAATGTACATAAACTCGTGCGTTTTTTAGACAACACTTTTGTGGGACAAACTCGTATTTCTGGCCCAGTTTTGATTGGTCAGTTGTCAAGATTGATTGTCACTCCGGAGAGGTCCATTTATTTTGACATTCAATTTAAATTGCGCCATACCAACCGAAGTATTCATTATGACACCAAAAACTGAGTGTGCCGTCTAAAAAGATACGGAAATCTTGTTGCGAATGTGCCTCAATGATGAGATTGTCGATTTTATATAACTGGTGTCAATACTGCCTTCATTAACGTGAGTGAAGCATGTCAATATCCTCAGTGAGGATATTATAGAGGTTACTGCAAACATAAGACATCTTGATTTTTTACATTATTTAAAGGTAGAAGATCATGTAAAGGATCGAATCGAGCCTTGTGGAAAATTGGGGTGGGCAGGAAGTCACCCATAAGCAACACCATCGACAACCACTCGCTGCAACCTAACTAAAGCTAAAAGCTATAAATGTTATAGAACTTGCATTTCACAAAGCCATGCTGACAGGATGTAACATCAGTTGTAAGTTGAATGTCAGGAGCATTGACCATGACAAAGAAGTTTCAGCAAGACTTTTATTCTAATAAGTAATCTAAGGATTCTTGCTAAAAACTGAATGAAAAAAATAATTTGCTTTTTCTTCAAATTGTCCATACTGTACGAGCTAGTCTACAGTTCAGCTCGTATAGTGTCTGCTTTACATTTTGTGCTTACGTCTTTCCCTGAGTTTCGCTCAACTTAAATTCAGGTTGAAAGCTTAAGTTACACCAGTAGTGAGGTTATGGCACTTCTGCTTAGGCTTTGAGTTCTATAAACTGGTAGATGCTAGGCAAGTAAATAAGCACTACCATTGTGAGAAGATGTACCAGACTATCCACATTATATTCGTAAATGCCCATAATATTTTTTAGAGACATTTAGGCCTAAGTAGCAACAGGATTATTGGAATAGCAATCGCTTGCAAGCAAATTAAGAAGAAATAAGACCCAGAACAACAATAAATGTTAATTATTATCGATATATGTCAGAGGGTTTTCTTTATTTTTTTTAGATGATTATGTGACTACAAAACATATCGTAAAACTTCGATTGAAGCCTTTACTTTGGATGGGCTTCTATTCGAGATGGGCGTCTTTTCGAGACTACTTTTGCAAAGTAAATAGTGGGGGGGGGGGAAGACTTCTTTTCACTTTTCAAAATGAATGCTGTAAATTTTGGGAATGACTACTATAAAAAACAATAAATAAGGCCACTGTAACATCAATCTGTATCATGGAGTGTATTAACCTAAACTACGGTATAAACCAAGCGTGATTTTAAATTATCTTTGAAATTCATGTATATACTGTACGGTACTATCTCGAAAAAAGGCCATGCTGTCTTGAAAAGAGGCCCATGGGCTTCTTTTCGAGATGGTCTTCTTTTCGAGGCAACTTTTGCAAACTAAAGAGGGGCTTCAATTTGAGATGGTCCTCTCGAGATTAAGTCCATTGGGCTTCTATTCGAGGTTTTACGGTATTTACATAGGCCTAAACATCTATGAGAATGTTGAATGATTTAATTAGTGCTTATATGTAAAGCATGTGAAGCTTTGCCCAGACAAAAAAAAAACTTGTATGCCCATATATGGTCATGATGTGCCTATATACGGTCATGATGTGATGTCATTATGTCCCTATTTAGGCATGTCACATGTTTTTGTCAAATGAAATTTGGATGTTTGGACGGGGCTTAATATCAACGTTTCAGCAAAAACTTGGTATTGGGATTTTTTTACGTGATATACAGACTCGAACACGGGCTTTTTTGATATCGGAAATTACATATGGCCTATTTTAATAAAGCAAACATTACGCCTAAACAAATGGTATAGAAATCTTTATGAAAAACAACAGTGTGGAAATTACACGTCGGCAACGATATTTTGAATCTATGATGAACTCTATTATTCATCGCAAATGGTAATACGACATTTTTTCATTTCTTATAAGACATCTCATGTCTAACATCCATTTTAAAATCCATTCTATCATATTTTATTATTACTTTGGAAAATTTCAGATTTTAAAAAGTAGATCACGAGCAGTCATGACTGAGATTTAGTTTTATTCGTTCTTTGAACCAACCATTTGATAATAAAACGCCTTCCCCATTACTTAAAAATGATTTGTAGCGTATCTACATGCCCTAACATGACACACCGACAGTGTTATGTATTCGGTGCTTCGTTCAAGATGTGTGAGTAGAAATACAGTATATCCAACTTTTTGTAAAACCTCTATTATTTTCCTTTACAGTTAACAATAATTGAGGAATTAAGATTACATCTTCTGTTTTTCTCCGTTCATTATTGTTGCCGAAAACACGTGTATATTGTTAATCTTTGCTTCAGGTACTTAAAAGACTTTTTGTAAATCAGTGGCGATCGATGACAAGTTGATTAAATAAGTATGCTTTGGAAATGAATATATTGTACTATAATATGCAACGACGGTGAACTACCGGAGCAAATGTTTGCATTAATGAAAATAAAGCATGTTCTAATAGGATCTAAATAGAATGTATCTTCTAGATAAACCCGTTATTGTTTGCAGAATAGCTTTGTATTTTGGATTGACGTTAACCATTTGAAACTTTTTCTATTGGGAAAAAAAATTTCCAGCGTTACACTAAGTCATTAAAAAAAAGGGGAAAAAAACCATTTTAACAGAAAACGAATACAACATAATGAAAAAAAATCAGATCATTCGTTATCTGTATATTGTTGCTCCTATAATTCAAAAAAAGTTTCGACGTCATCATAACATGATTATAAACCATTTAAGCTTATTACGCCAATTGTGTTAATCTGATACAATCTATTCACGCTAATAATGAACTGCTAAGGAATTGACTACTTGTAAAAAGAAGTAATTTGATCTTGACGGATCAATGTGTGGAAGGTGTCTTGCGGGGTAAAAACTCGCATTTCAAATGTTTTCTTTCAAGAGTCACTGCACTCATTGATATTTTTGTTAATAACAAACATAACATAATAATTCTCTTTTACGATTTGCTTTTTGTGAAATGTTTAACAGAAAATAATGCTGACACAAAGTAGACTTAAGGAGCGCCCCCAGGTTTTCAGACAAATCTTCAATAAAATTCATTTAATTCTAAAATTTCTAAACCGAATGTTTGGGAGATACAAACATTAATAATGGATACATCATAGTAAAACACTGAACACATCATGCCTTGCCTTAAGACTTGCAGATGTATGCCTATGCCAACGGTGATATTATTGCTGAAATTGATTTGTCATTTTGATCTGTAAAGAGGTTTTCTCATGGGTTCCCATTAAAATTATTGTTAGGGACCCGCATTCACCATTTTATTTAAAATGTATCATGCAGAGTTCCTAATCATTGTGACTGGCTTTGCGATACAGCACGTAGCCACCACGTAGCCTTATATACATACGTGCACGATGACCTTGTGCGTATTGTACGTACAACTATGATGTACCTCGAGCGAGAACAACTTTATTATATATATATAATATGTATATATATATATATATATATATATATACATACATACATACATACATACACACATACATAGGCCTACATACATACATAGTAAGCTTGTACATCTTTAGACCACAATTGGCAATTAACTAATATTGTTTACAAAGTAATATTTTTTTTAGTTCGACAACCAAGTCGCGCGTCGGTCTTGGGGGTGAGGTGGGAAGTAACTAATGATGACCTATGGTAGAAAGTATTAGTACAATAAATATTTTATTTTGAGAGACAGACATTCAAATTATTATTTATAAAATAATTATCAAAACTACTATTTAGATATTGATACATAATAATAATGGAATAATTACAATAGTGGTTTTATGGTAGAGGATAGGTCAAGCTTGTACATTTTAGACCACAATTGGCAATTAATAAATATTGTTTGGAAAGGCAAAGTAGTATTTTTAATAAAATCCATTTTATGATGCATTATGTGATTATTATTATGATTATTATTATTATTGTTATTATAATTATTACTATTTTTATTATTAATAATATTATTGATTGTGATTATCTTTATTATTATTATTGTGATTATTATGGTGGTAATTTGATGACCTTTGGTCAACAAGTAAAAAAAAAATGAAAATAAGAAACAACTTTTCTTTGTACACATTCATTAAGAGATGTTACTGAATACCTTATAATGATATACTGTAATGGTATTTGTGAGTAAATGACCTTTGGTCAACAAAAGAAAAAAAAGTAATATTTTTCGTTCAACAACCAAGCCCTGCGTCGGTCGGTGGGGGGGGGGTGGATGCTTGTCCGACATGAAGAAATTCCCCCTGACCCCTTTCCCCGCCACTGAGACAATGTACTGTTGAATTTTTACAGAATGAATTCATCTAATTTGGTATTCTTGAATGTTTACCGAACTAGTGTACATTCGCATCTTCCTCTGGATTGACATCGTCTTGTGAGGATTGTTCCTGAATAACTTTCTTCATCCAGCTTAAATCTCGTAACGTAATTGAAATTTCAGATTCAATGAAATAAAGTTCAATTATCGACAACGCCGGCAGGGAGTGTAGTGAGGGTTTCCATTTAAAAAAAAAACCAAGAACACAGATTCAGACCGCATTTTGCTGTCTCTATGTAGGTTAAATACCTCAGTATTTGATATATACAACGAGTCATTACGATAAAAATGGGGTCTAGAAACAACACATTGGCTGCTTCTTCAAGAAATTGATTTTAGAACACGACTTCGACGTCGAAAGAAATATGATTAGCATTAAGTCGCGACATTTTTCAATTAATTCTGACGGCTGTCTTTGTCAATATGAAGGGGCCATTTAGTGACGTCATATAAATTGACGTAGGCCTGTTAGCTAATATTGAAATATATTGGTATTTTTCGCACATAAAATATGATATAATGTAGGTCAGATCAGAAAATACAATAATTGTACAGCTAATTAATGGCTTATTTAGTGGCACTGGATTTTTATAATCAAGATTATTTACCAACGGAAATATTGTTAACATTTTGGTCTAAGGGTTACCTACTATTGCTTAATTGAAAACGTCCAGATTGGTTTTAGTCGTTTGAAATATCAGTTATAGGCTTACCGTTTAAAAAAAATCCTAATAAATCGCAGATTATACTAGAATCCTATATACTGTATGATCCGTAAATCTACGAAAGTGCCTATGCTTGCTGTAATTTTTCTCTTCCAATTTCTCAAATTCTTAAAAACATCACGGGATTTCTGCCTAATTAGGCATCCTGTATCAATTAGCGAGTTCTTATTGAATGTAATTAAACAAAATGAAAAAAAAGTTAAAATTAAAAAATATATATTTATTGTAAAATAATATAAGCCTATATTTTAGGTATTAAAAGTTGGTTTGAAGTGGGTTGTCCGGTCCTCCACTGCTTGCAGCAAATTATAATAATAATTATAATATTAATAAGATTTATAATGCGCACATATCTATTGCAGTAGTGCTGAAGGCACAAATAGATCGTAATTGTGTAGTGCGCATGCGTATTATCATCATACGCTTTTTTATATATATAAATGGTAAACGTAAATTTATGAATTTTTATGACTTACATAAGCGAGCTTTTTGTGTGCATTTATATTTAGAAACAAATGAACATTTAACAAAAACAGATGACTTTGATTGTATTACAAGAAATTCGAAATGCTAACGAGGCCGACTCCCAAAACGAAAAGCATCATTTTACTAATAATAGCACTGAGTGATGTAGTTTAAAACTTACTATTAATCCACGGAGTACCAAAAGCTAAAAATACGCATCGCCTACCACAGTGAACCTTTATGTGCCAACCTTTGAAATGTTTTTAATTATGCCATCTGTATTATCTTGTTCCGATGAATTGTTATTGTATGTTGATTGCACTGTTCATTTTAGTTAATCCCAGCCAATCTTCCATTGATTAGAAACAGATTAAGACCAATTTACATAATGGGGAAGGGGTAACTTTCTTGGATCCTGAGACCCCTGGGCTTCACACAAATGAAATGTTTCGAGAAGAAAGGATTGAATAATAATAGTGATCATATCAAAATAATCTTTTTCCGTCCTAATGCTAAAATATTAGTCCTGCAGAAGAAAGAATAGAAATGACAAGACAACGAGTATTGAAGTCATAAGATCCGGGCTAGAAGTGTCCTAAGAAGCAAACCAAATCACGGTTAGGTTTTTTTTTTATCGTATACATAATAGCATATAATCAACGAGTGTTTAATAAAACATTATTATAAGATTATATTAAAAGTTAGGTCAATACATTTCTGCTGAAGTTGATGATGATGACGATGAAGGTAAAGATGACAAAGATGATGATGATGATGATGATGATGATGATGATAGTGACAATGAATTACTTAGATGATCATTACAATAATGAAGATAATAATGAAGGTAATGACAGTGGTAATGATGATGATAATGACAATGATGATAGTGGTGGTGTTGATGGTGATGATGATGATGATGATGATGGTGATAATGATGATGATGATAGTAATGATAGTAATGATGATGACGATGAAGATGGTAAGATGATGGCGATTCAAATCTTAATTCAACTGATCTCATCAAAACATTGTAGTGTATCATGTTCAGTGTATATCCCTCTTGAGCAATGCACACTCCTCCTCTTTTTGACTCCTCAGCATTACAGAAAAAGAATCACAGAAGCCGTTTTTACAGAGCCATCTTAAGACATATAACTGTCATTAATCTAAATAGTATTGAACGCAAACTGACCGTCATGTCAAACTGCTGGATACATCAACGATTTGTGATTCTAATGCATTCAGCTTAAGTAGAACTTAACCCTTGTGCTATCGATTCCCTATGAGAATGTTATCAGACAATCTTCCGAAAGCAATGATAGCATTTCCAACATCAATTCCCGCCAAAATCCTTCGTGTAAAAAGACAACAATCTCGTTCCTGTTTACTTCCTTCATTAAAAACATATCAGACATATAATTTTATGTTGAACAAGGAAGGTAATCATGTTAAAGAAAGTCAGGTGAATACAGCCCTGTATTATACAAATTCGTACAACCGAAGAAATGCATAAAGAAACGATACTTACATAATATAAAATAACAATATATGATTTTTAAGTACCGGTACCGCATGGTGATGAAAGCGACAAATAGACAAAGCCCCATCAAATCATTAACTTATAGACATAGCCAAACATATAATTTGCTATCTTTTTAATTGTTATATTTACGATGCAGTTTTAAAAGTATATAGGTAAAGTGATTGTGACGTACATAAACAATACTGTGTACGTATAGCAGATCCAACATCCGATTTACTCCCATTGCTGGACCACTGGCAGTCAAATTGAACGAATATGAAATTATCATGTCACGCGTAAGCCAAATTTAAATTCTTAAAACTTTGTCAGATGATCCTGCTTTCATTTTGTATTGTTATTTTCCATGGCATTCCTCTAAAACAACATTATGCTGTTCATGATTATCGATAAACTTGTATATTATTGATGTGATTAGTTAATTCTATAGTTCATACGAGTGAATTTACCTGCAGTTTTGTCCACTGTATTCTGCCTATGCATCTAGGTGCATTTCTCCAGGCGGTCTTAGCCCCAAGCATAAGCTCGGTTTCTGTGAGATTGTAAGTTCCAGTTTTCTCAATGCTGCCCTGAACTTCTGCTAACCGATTCTTATGGGCTGGTGATCCAGTTCTGAAACAAACACAAGTATACCTAAGTTAGTCACGTTCTCTCTTCATGCCACGATATAGTAATCTGTGTCTAATCAACTTCTCTCGTGGTATCACGATCTAAGCCTGTATTAACATGTAGACCTATATATCAATTGTGTTTAAAAAACATTTAATGCCTCGTACTTATTTATAACAAAGCAAAAAAAAAAATACAATTGCATAGATTCAGCTATGAATTATGTAGGGCCAGTGTGTAAACTGATTAAAATGATTACCATAATGACAATAATAAATAGGCCTAGTGTGAGAGCATTACATATATCGATTTATGATTACAGATACTGATCTATAATAGTTGTATAAAAAGTATATGATTTGATTTATTAGGTCTTTAAGATACTTAAACGTCGTTCCTGGTGACTGGGTAATAATCCCAAATCTAAACATTTTTGCGCATCTGTGTTGCACAGATGCACCGCCTGAAATAAAAGCCGAGTGAGGCGGCAGAGATAAATATCAACGAACAAGATTGACGTGTTTCCAAAGATAAATATAATTTATTCAAAAAAATATTTCGACCTTATCTTCAGAACTCAACCACATATCTGATTTATACTTCAATGATCGAGGCATTTATGAAGTACAGAATATTTTACCTTAAAATGTATTAATATCATATACAAAATCAATACATGCGTGTTCAAAATGTTTTACAAAAAAGAAATAGAATAACTAAAAATGAATTCAGCTCAAGGCATATCATTGTGAAAAAGTGTGAATAGACAGAGTGTGTAATAAAAGTGCGAATAGCAACAGTGGTTCTTGCGCATTTCTAGTTTTAAGTATGCAAACCAATCTACACCAATTCAAAATTAAAGGGCTTATAAGTACCACACCCATTCGCTCGGTTATCGTGCTTTACAACTGTGTTATACATCTGTTATACCAGAGCATTCATATTACATTATTATGACTTCTCCCTGGCTATTCTTATTGTAATAATGTAACAAGGGAAGATGGGCGTTGCATTTTAGTTTCGATTTCACAGTATATAAGACAAAAAGTAATAAAGATTGTTAACCTATGGGTTGTCAAATCTAAACAAACGTATAGCTATTGTTATTCAGGCGACTGACTATAACTTTACTGGGGAATAGGATCATCATTTACTAAATCTTATTTCCTTAAAATCAAATATTTTGTGTACTTTTCCTGGCTTGATTTCACGATACTGATCTGTGAACACACGCACTCAATTGCAACTTGACTTTGTCCAGACTAATGGATCTTGTCAAACATCGATGTGGAAGTAGAAGTAGACTAAGTGTAGAATAGCTAACACCCTATTCTATTCGTTTATTATGTGCCAGAAAGTGTAATTTCTGATTAATATCATATCAATACCAGCTACTTTAGAACACCCTTTTTAAACACGTATGTATTGATCTTTTTTAAAGTATAATATGATAAAGTGTTGACACATTTTAAATATTTACTGTTCTTTTACTGTATAAAATCGTTGATCGTTGCAATTTACGTCGAAAGCATCCTTAGGATAAACACGAACTATTCGATAGAATAAATTGTATTTAAGCACATCACTCCTGTTATCTCATTTTAATCTCTGCCTTAGTTGTTTTTTTTAAATATCGAAGGGATCGTTTTTAAGCCGTTGTTCTCGTGTGCAAATTGGCTCATGTGCACGTTAAAGAACGCAGTACATTCTTCGGAATAGAATAGGCCTATTTTGTTTATTGTCTCCCGGTGAAATGAATTCCCAACAATATTTTTCGAGCAGAGTACTGGCATGATAAACTTTCATATTGTGTAGATAGACATTACGGTATCTCTTTACGTTGAACTACAGTTACATAAAACGTATTTCTTTGGAGATCTCTTGTCGTTTAAGATGCTTAAAAAGAGGGCGTATCACAATTATCTCTGTTTCACGTATGTGCGTCGAAAACTAGTGTTGTATCGGCATAGAAATCGATTCGAACTTTCAACGAAAGCCTCAGTGATGCAGTCGGTTCACAAGGCTTTTGCATAGATAGCAGATCTCTGGTTCTAATCTCGGTTGAAGTGATTTTTTTTTTCACAATCCCGCATTCCTCTTCTTTACCGTTTACAATTTATATAAAGCCAAACAGTTGATTTAAGTTAGAGGAAACACTGTATTATCATCTACACTCACCTTTTAATATGTGCATAATATTGATTAATGAAGTCGATAGCATGTTTGAGAACTTCTGCCTTTGGACGTAGAGTGCCGATAGGGCGTCTTGCAGGCGGAAACATTACGGATCCCCAACAATTCTTCTCAGTACAATGCACCGTCTGTAAAAAAATATAATAGAATAATATTTATCTATTTTATTAATATTCCACATCACTCCAATTGTATTGCACTGAATGCAATTTTAGTATAAGTAGTACTTGATAAATTAGTTTTTGATAAAATAATTATTATTAAGTATTTAAGAAGTATTTTTTCTAAGTTACATAATTACATGCTACAACTAATGAAAATGTTTGACACATATATTATTGTGGCATACCGTTTTTACGATCATCTAAGATTTATGTTATATGATCACACACAACAACAATAAAAATAATACTCAATTATTTCTCGATGGTAATAAATATGGAATGTTGGATCTGATATTCAATAATCCGAGACCTGATATCATTTTAGCATACTGAGGCATGACTTTCTTTTATCAACTAAATAATAATCAATGCATTTAATGTAAAGAAATACTTCTCAAAATATCATCCCACCATTAGCTTTAATAAAATCTTAATAACGGAAGGTATATACAGGTATTTAGTGTGTGTTAATTTTTTTTTAATATACTTCTTTTTTCTTTGTTTGTTTGTTTTTTAAATACGCGGTTTTGATACATTTACGTGATCCAATCGTAAGAAAGTAATGTGTTTAAAACGCATGCAATAAGCATCTATCGCACAAATTATCTTCTCTAAATTAGTAACACGTGTCCATTTTATTTTATTTACAATGTCGTTCAGTATTAGTATTAACACCCAATTGATCATTCTGAGGAAAGAAATTGCCTGCTTGTGTAGTAGAAGGAATTTATCCCAATCTCATGAAGTACGCCCTATTTCGCAGCGAAATAGGATACTTTATACGGATTAAAGTTTAGTTGTTTTTTTTAATATGACCTGTAAGATATCGAATGGCTGTACAGCCGATGTTGCGTTCAGATATAGAATATACAACTTCAAACGCTATTGCGTTGAGTGGTACGATTATCAGAATAACGATTAAGTTTATGGGAGTCCGCCCCTATAGGAATTCGAAGTTGTAAAAGTTAAAACAGCAGATTTGAATAAACGCGACATCTTTATATTAAGAGGTTCTTTAATGTCACCTAGGAGATTATATAGCTCGTTGTAATGGTTGTTAGCAATGTTTAGTATGCCAATGCAATTTCAGTACATGGACGGATTTATAATCATCACAATTACAAAATGATATTTTCGTGCATAGAATTCAAAAACGTGTATACGCATCTAAGGTACCACTTGTGGAATCAGACAAAGCATTGAGCTATAAAAAATAGTTAAACCTAGAAAAGGTTCAGCACTTTAAAAAAATGCACGACTATTTCAACAATTTATTTTCAATTTTGTAAGAATTTTTGAAGAACAATTTGCAGTCAAACTGACAGTCCGACTTTGTATTGATAGGCCTAAAGTGTATTATAAAAAAGCTTCATGGAATGCAATGATTTGAAGTAAACTTTGAAGTATAGCAAAAGTCAGTTGAGGAATTAAGTTCATTCAAACTATCTATTTCAATGTGTTTAGTACTTGGGATTATGATTTCTAAAACTCCCATCACTCAAGACGGTTGAAGCTTTTGAAAAAAAGATATATCAATATCAATATTTTAATTACTGTAGCCTGAAGGATATACGTTTATCTTAATCTTTTCACAATAAAGGAAATTATTTTATTTAGTTTAGCCTATTGCTCGGTGAAACTTGGACCAGTACGTGATAGCCGTCGTCTTCTGTCCAACGAATTTAAGGTAATCATGATATTAAGAATTGAACGTTACAACAATTAGGTCAATATGATTATATTGTATATGCTATGTACCTATTATATGTAATATAATAATAAACTTAGGCTAATAATATTAGCTCTATGGTCCAAAAGCATAGGTCAGTGTCTTTTTAATAACATAGTCCACCTGCTTAGAGAAAACAAGACACTGTCTAAATAGGGTATTATTCATAGATTACAGGATGTATCAGAAAGATTCATTTTTTATTTATATAAAAGTCAATGAAGAATTCATTCAAATTAACGGTCAATTGCATTTTGGTTCATAAAACGTGTTTAAGTGTAATGTCAATGTGTTTTTTTTTCTTCTTTTTTTCAACGATTACGCACTAAAGTATACGCAGATTTTCTTTTTTAGAGAGTTGGAATCTGTAATATTATTTGTTTAAAGAAAATGCCACCGGTTAAACAACTCGGATTTAGAAGATACAAACACGATGTTGTAAGCCTAATCAAATTAACCAAATAAACCTTGCCAGGACTTTATATAGATTTATCTTCTTTATCTCCGTCCGTAATTTTTTTTGTCGATATTCATTCGTAAACGAAACACTAAATCAAAATGCACCAATCAGGAGGCTGATGGATCAAAGAAGCAGCATCATTCGACAGTACGTCCTTAGAGATACAGTGCGTCCTTAGAGACACGTTTCTTAAATAAATTTACATGTAAATAGTGTGTAATATATTCTAATATAGATTAGTACAAAAGATACCCCGTCTAGAACTATCCAAATTAATTGAAATATTGTATCCCTGTGATATTAATGCCTCTACTCTATATTGTTATATTTTTATCGATCTATTTTTACCTTCTTGCATATCGTAGCAGTGCAAGAAGTGAAGTCAAAAGAAACATCCATTTAATTATATTATCTTTATCAATAGTAAAAACAAAAATTAATAGCTCAAGATAAGGAAAAAAAAATCCGAAAAAAGAGACAACAGTTTGGCCTTAAAATATAGTCCAGAAAAATGAGATAAAGGTCGATGGATTGGTTTCCCATTAGCAGTGCTTCAGAAGAACAATATACAATTAGCTAAAAAAGTTCAACATCAACAGTCGGAACTAAAATAATACTCTAAAATTACAATAAACTATATCAAATATAGATTAAAATAGTATACTATTTTTGGATAAAATTTAGCATGCTGCAACAATCACTTTTATATAATTTTTTTTTAAAGACTAACAGAAAACGTGTTTTTATCTAAGCATAAATAAAATTGACCTGAGCCTGTCCTCTTCTCATCCATGAGCAAACAGTGCGTACAATTGAAAAAAAAAATTCAAACAACATTTAACCAAATCAGTATTTTGAACTAAATATTACAACAGGAGATCATAGGATTGATACAAATATGCTGTATTGTATAAGATACCATAAACACGATTGCAAATGAAAGAATTATAAAGAAATTTAACAGATTTTCATCTAATGAGAGGCCAAAAATGTTATCTTTGAGCATAGGAGTGTTCGTTCTTGCAGGACAGAAAACGGCTCTTGTTTATGAAATGTATGCTTCAAAGTCTTGATATGACCCTCCAGATATGGCGGCTCTTTAATATACATAATGCGTAAAATCTGCCGACAAAAGTAAATCACATTTAAAAGTGTAACTTATCCAGGATTTATTCGCACTACAAGATATTTATGTGTTTAGTTACAAGTTTCGTTATAATATTATGATATAAATCATACAGGGATTCATACAAATTTTTTTTTCTCCATATTTCAAGTTATGCTAGGTCTATAAATAGTACTTTATTAGTTATACGTAATAATAATAAATAGTACTTTATTAGTAATAAATATTAACAATAATAATATAAAGTACTTTATTAGAATTAAATAATAACAATAATAATAAATAGTACTTATCCTGTTAAATCTTTAATTATTTTTCTCAGATACATACATCTTTTGAGGTGTAATATATTTGAAACAGATTGACGAGTTTTTTTTCTGAACGTGTTGAATAATTTAAACTAATATAATATTTATGATGCAATAAACTTATTTAATTAACGACACAATTTATCCTTGTAATCTTAATATTTAGCTGTTTAAAAAATGTTAATTTCTTTAAATAATGTTCATGTTAAGTTTTTCTAAATGTTTTGTAATGTTTCTTTTGTATGACTTTTACCTTTACTTTTACCTAACATTAGGTTTTCTTTTTACAAGAATGAAGTGATTATTGAGATTACTAATAAATAAATAAATAATAATAATAATAATAATAATAATAATGATAATAATAATAATAATAATAATAATAATAATACCGTAATAATACCGTAATAATAATAATAATAATTTGCATTTATTTTATTTTCTCTTCTAACCAGTATAAAGAATAACATATTTTTATTTTTAAGTTATGCTAATTACCAAGACAAGCGTCTTAGCAAATTTTGTAGAAACATAATTTAAATCTTGTTCACGTATATAGAGACAAGAAAATTCCACCCTTCAGAATTATGTTATTTTGTTGTTGTTGTAGCTTGTTGCATGGATTCTGATATTATGTTTTATCCAAGACATTGGATTTAATGTCAGTGTTTTAACCAGAGCTTCATTCGAGATTATACGACATATTGCAAGTGACAACTGAAGGGAAAGTTCAGAATCTTAGTATCATAAATTAAAAGTTGACTATAATTTACTATTCTATCACTGTAGTAGTGCCCTATGTATTAACTTAAAATTGACCTAACTTCTCAAACCTCACGCAGGTTCTAATGAAACTAAATTTTGTTTACTTGAGTATGCAAACTCTTAAAGAACATAAGGGTGATGCTGGAACGCAAATCAAGCGTTCGGGTCAAACGCGTTAAGATCTCTAAATGATTCAAATTTAATTCAATCAGAATCAATTAGCTCCGGGAAAATAACTTATCCCCGGAAAGCATAACCATTCAATGACATTAAAAAGTCGTTTTGTTAAATCGAGCGTTGCAAAGTAGATCAAGTGCGATAGCGGCACATTCAATTTAAGTATCATTTAGAAACATACAAAATGAGTTTTTCGGAAAAAAGGGGGAAATCAGCAATCGAATATTGCCAGTTGTGTGCGGCATCTTTCATGAGTAGGCATACTCAACGTTCTATCGTGAAATGAACCATAGGAAACGACATGTCTAGCGGAATTCTTGAAAAAAAGAAAGAAATACCGTATATCATTTAAATAACCATCGATGGACCAGAATTCCACACCGTAGTAGTAGAATTGAA